CAATAAAAACACAGTCAATACTATAATTATGGAGGCACACTGTACAGGTAAGATTCCTCTAAAAGATGAAATATTTGAAAGAACATTTTCTACAACCTCAAAAACACAAAGAAAAAATTATATGGAGTGACACAAGAGAAATTTCAATTTCTTGTTTGTTAACTGTTCAAAATCTTTTTCCTAGTTACAAAATGCTGGTTGAATTGTCCCCTGCTTTATTGTAAATACTTGTGGCCACTGGAAGGAGCTCCAAAACATTTCTCTCTTGCATATTTAACACCCTGGAACTCAAAGCAGTGTTTAAAGCCTGACATCACTAATTATACACTCCCTCACAGTCTAACTTTGTTATCATCTTTCCTGAGAAAAAGCATGCATTCCTTGCTTGCACACCTTCTAACATTCCATCTCTCCTGCTTCTCTCTGATCAATCACATCAGACCACAATTTTTCATCATCTTGCCAAGTCAGCCTCTCTGGGCCCATTACGCTCTCACCTGTGTCCCTGAGCACTCCTACAGTGAAATCCATCCATTTCAGGTCATCCATCCATCTGAGGTCTACTTTCCTAGAGGCCCTCCCAATTGCTGACCAGTTCTGCTAATTCAGTTTGTCTAACTTTCAAATCACCCCCAGATATTATGCTAAAGTCTAGAATCTAGACTAACTCTTAAATCCTCATTTTTCTCTTCCCAGCTTCTTTCTCATTTCTGGTAGATTCTTTGTAAAACTGAAGCCTTCCTCTTCATCTTAAGGGTATAATACTTTATAAACTCTTTTATCCTTCCTTATAAACTCAAAATAGAGAAAGATATTCTACACACTATTCGATGAACCAACCTCTCCTACTTGAACAAACCTCTCCCTACTTGTAAGTCTTGATAAATGAGTCCTTGATTTTGTAATATAGAACTTTTTGTTAACATCAAAATATTATGAGGATCCTATCCAACAGTTCAGTAGCTTAGTTGTGTCTGACTCTCTGCAACCCCATGGACTGCAGCACACCAGGCATCCTTGTCCTACACAACAGTGGGTTGAATTTTCATTTTCTGATGATCTAGCTCAACTTTCAGTCAATTTAGAGACAATGCTTAGGGTATGAATCAACCAGTTAACACCTGGTTTTAACTTCACAGCTTACATGTTGGAAATCAACTTTTCAACTCTACCAAGGACTTCAGTTTCACAATCTTGTCTCTTTTATTGGTATACATGCTCTCTTCCTGAACGCAAACTTAAATTCTTCTACCTTCGTATGTGTAACTTCTCTAATGATTTCTTTATAGCCAAATGCAATTAATCTCTCTGCAGTATTAAACATGAATGACTTTTTTTTTTAACTCTTACAGACTTTCTACTAAGGCAAGATACCACTTTGGAACGTTTGTGCCTCTAACTACTATTCTTTGGCCTCTTTTGCTGGTACTTCAATTTCTTCTTTCAAACCCACTGGTAGTGGTTCTTAATTTATTATTTCTGACTTCATACACTGTTCGGTAAAATGTGTCATCACTGGCGTCTCTCACAATGCACTAGTTCTTTACCAGCTGGCAGCAGTCCTTACCAAGAGTCCTATCCTGTCATCTGGAACATTCCTGGCCTAACAAGTCTCTGAATTTCTATTCATTTCACTCGCATTCTAAAACATGGCAATGAACAAGGACTGTAATTATCACCCACACCTGTTGCACATGTATTTACTGTTCCTTTCAATCAGACAGCAATTCCTTAAAGGCAATTCCCTTGTTCTAGTCATCTCTCCTAAGGGCAGAGTGCCAAGTACAAAGAGATCACTTCAAATATCTTTTCTTTTACCAATATTTTGTTATTGAAGTATAGTTGCTTTATAGTGGTGTGTTAATTTCTGATTTACATCAAAGTGACTCAGTTATACATACATATCAAATACCTTCTAGTACTTTCTAGGTACCTAAAATGTACAGTCAAAAATTCTGAAACCACAGAGAGAACACTATTGCAGGATGCTAAGTAGGCATACAGTTAAAGAAAGTCTCTATAATTAGAGATTTAAGAAATACTGGGTTAAACAAAGTGAACAGGTTTATTTGTAGAACTTCCTAAAAACTTTAAACTTGCTAACTGAGAATCTCCAAAAGCAGAAGTACCCAAACTTATGTTTTACAAAACTCTTTCCCACCTTATACTGCTCATTACCAGAACCTGTTAACTTTTCCTTTTCCAGGGAACACAACTGAGAAAATGCTCATTAAGCAATAATTCTTTTCTTTCACACCTACTTCATACTCAGTATGTTTAAGAAAATGGCAATATCACTAATTTTATGATTTATCATAGAAGCCAGTCTCAGCATCACTTAAATAGATCCAAAGCCATTACACAGTATAATTACAAAACAATTTTTAAGGATTCATTTCAGAATATTTTTTAATTGCAGCTCTCTAACTGCTTTTAAATACAATCTCATTTACAAAAATGTCACTTATATATACCACTGGAGCAAAAAGGTATAATCCCATATTTATTAAAAAAACAAAAAAACAGCAAAATCTGTTAAGAGCTGTGTGAAGTTTAAGTGAATTGACACTCTCTCACTGAAGCCAAAGGTAAAACAGATTATAAAGGACAAAGTACATTCCAAATAATCAAGAATAAGAGGAAGACAAATTTGGAAAATAGATACACTATTTTTCTCTGGAAGGTTCTTAAAGTTTATTAGCACATGAAATGATCCAATAAGTCCTGCAATTAAAAAAAAAATTTTTTAAAGTCAGTTCAGCATTGTTTAAATTTGCTTCTCAAATTTATTTGACCATAAAATCTTTTTTCCCCTCAGTAACACTAACATCCCAACACAATCTGATAAATAATCATTTTACCAGTATTTCTGATTGGAAAAACCTATCAAAAGAGAATTGTTACCCTCATTAAAACCTTTAACAAGCAGCAGGTATTCACAAAGTAAACCCCTAAATTTTCCCATCTAATCTCATCCCCACTTAGTTCCTCTGCCTAGAAATTTTATTTCAATAATTAATATGTGGGAGAAAACAAAGACAAATTTTGTCTTAACAGTTAACTTTCAGAACCATACACCAAAGAAGAGATAAATTCTGGATATTCCTGGAATCATGTAAAACTCTGTCCAGGTTAAAAGCAGGACCTTCAATATGCCTCAAATACTAGTTCTTTATTTCTTGCTCCATCACCTGTTTCCTCAGTAGTGAAACACTGTGGAATGGGGATGCTGGCTGTGTGAAAATGTCTAACATTTAATCTCCACCCTAAAATCTGAACCTCCACTCTTACCTGAACCTTGTCTATACCAGATCTTATGTTTTCTTTTATAGTACTGTATTTTTTACTTCCTTTTTCCTGGAACAAGGTAAGAAATGATCTGCAACCAGAAAGCCAGGTACTTGACTAGGTGAATGCTTCATCACTCAATAACACTTAATTACCAAACCAAGCACACTGGGGGACTGCAAATTCATTACCCCACAGCTCCAAACTAAATTATGTCTTTCGGAAAACCATTCTACTACTCTGAAACATAGCAAAAGTGTAACTGATTCTAAAGTCAGCTTTCCCACTAATAATCTCAGCAAGCTATTTATAGTTGTTTGTTTTTTGTGCAGTTTTTTAAGTCTGCTCTAAATTTAAACCTGCTCTTCATTTTCGAGGCTGAAATTAGCATTAAGTTAAATACAAGAAAAAGAGACTAATCAGCACAAGCTACCTCCTGCTCAGTTCTTCTTGAAAAGGGCTACAAAGAGTAATTTTCCCAGATAGCTTCAATTTTCTTACAATCATAATCCCAGCTTCAATTTTCTTACAATCATAATTCCCTTAAAAGGTGTTTTTCTTGTAAATCTCAATAAGGAAGGTAAGAATTCAATTCTTTTTACTTACAATAGCCAAATTAGTACCAATTTTAGAGCATATCAGTCATTTCAGATATAATTCTGACAATTCCTTTTGAACTAACTGTGCCTGCGTGTTAAGTCACTTCAGTAGTGTCCGACTCTTTGCGACCCTATAAACTGTAGCCCGACAGGCTCCTCTGTCCTTTGGATTCTCCAGCCAAGAATACTAGAGTGGGCTGCCCTACCCTCCTCCTGGGGAATCTTCCCGACCCAGGGTACGAACCTTACATCTCACATCTCCTGCATTGGCAGGTCGTTTCTTTACCACTAGCGCCACCTGGGAAGCCCCTTTTAACTCACACCACTTTCAGGTAACTATTAAAATGACTAAATCTCAAATCATGTAATAGAAGGGCCTAACTTCAGGTTTTAGCTGTTCTAGGTAAAACATTCATTAAATGTAGGCCAATATTTCTCATAAGGAAGTGTTTCAAATGGAAGCATACTCAAGTGATAAATGAAGTACGATCTCTCTCCACGGTCACTTCCGGGCCCATTCGCCAAGGTATTGATCAGCATTGGGCTCTGTTGACATGGGGGCGGGGTGGGGGGAGGTAGGAAGTAAGATCATGCGTAATGTCATTATCGAAGTTATAGTTCTATTTTCTGCTGGGCGTGCCCGAAAGAAAGCAACTAAAATTAAGTATTTTTTTAAGGATAAATCCTAGAACCATGCGAGATAAATTCAAGAGACCTCAGCTGATGTTCCACAGGTTGCCTCACTCACCTGGACTCTTTTGAATTCACTCCCCTCCACACCTCAGTTCCCTCAGCCCTCGCCCCTTTTCCAATACACACACTGCTCTTCCCTCCTGGTTCTCTTCTTGGCGCAAAGCCCCCATTCGGCCCCCCAGATCTTCTCTAGGGCCCGCCCTCCTCTCAGGTGCCCTCCGAGGTCCACCCCCCACACTCCAGCTCCCCGAAGCGGCCCCCGCCCCCAGCCGCCTCAGCCACCGCGGGACGCCCCCGGCCCAACACTCAGATTTCGCACCCTCCACACTCCCGCTCCCGCCGGCGCCACCGGCCTCGGCGGCGCCCGCACTGCACCCCAGCACCGCCCTGCAACACGCCCCCCGCCCGCGGCCCCCTTACCACACATGCTGCAGGAGGCACGGTTGGCAAGGCGAATGGCGAGAGGCTGGAGAGTCCGGGAGCGTACACGAGCCTGTAGGGCAACCCGTGGGCTTGGATACCAAGGGGGCGCCGACACGACTCCCTCAGGGGATGCGACGGCGGAGGCAACGACAGCGGTCTCGGCCTCCCGGGCTTGCCAGCAACTGCCGCCGGGCCCCGCCCCCCGGCGCGCACCGCGCCGCCGCCGCCACCGCCCGCAGGTCCCATTGGGCTGCGCCCGCGCCGCTCATGCGCAGGTCCCGCCTCCTCGCACCGCCCCGCCCCGCCCCGCCCCCGAGCCCACGCAGGCCCTGGCCTGCTGGCGCCGGAGACGTGGCACTGGTTCGTGGCCGCATCCGCTTGAGGTTCCTGGAGACGCCCGCCCCGGGGGCGAGCAGCGCGAGGCACTGCCCTGCGGGGAATAAGGAACACGGCGGCTGGCAGGGAACGACGAAAGGATTAGTAAAGAGGATGGGCTTGTTAGCAAAGCAAATAGCGTGCGTCGTCCGCCTCGTGTAGCCCAGGGCCCCAAGCCCCAGCACCCTATCGAGCGGAAAAGGAGGAAGGGAACAGGAGGCCTTATCCTGGGGGACCAACAACAAGTCAGGGAGGGAAAAGGACAGAAGATTGATGAGAAATTGCAAAGGATTGAGTGAGAGGAGGGGAGAAACGCAGTATTCAGGTTCGGCCAATCTTTCTGGTGACAGGAGATTCAGGTCCCAGCTTAAGCTTTAAGTCATATGCGTGGCCTCTAAAACCTCTGCTCCCCATCCCCACCGCATAACCCCCGTTTTTTGCAGAGGCGGAGGGGCTGACTGTAAGGTTCAACTATCGAACACTATGCGCTCGGGTTTAAGAAACTCTGCTGGCCCAGGCTTCGGATGGCCAACAGGAGAGGAGGAGTGTAGGAATTGCCTAGATTTGACAGCCTTAGCTTGGGCTCATGAATGATTAATTCTATGAATTAAGGCACCATTCCTGCCAAGAGAGACTTAATCAGAGAGAGATGATGTTTCTGAAAATTTACTACCTCAGCATTTGCTTTAAGAAGACTTAAATGCTATCTTTAATCAAATGTAGAGCGCTATCATAATTCGATTAATGACCCAAGACTAGAATCAAGTAAAATTTCTGTAATATACAGAATACCACATGATCTTCTCACCCCACGCCTCTCATACTACTGATGTCTTCCTACTCTACCTTTCAGCCCTTGACACTCTGAACAGGTAGTTTCTCAACTGGGCAGTTTCTCAACATCCTCAATCTTTTGCATGTATTAGTTAATCTTCAGGGAATCCCCAGCCCATCTCTGCCTAAGTACTGCTTCTTGGGGAAAACCTGTTTTGTCTTCCCCAGAGAGACTTAAGTCTGTCTATTCATTAACCTCTCATTCTTTGAGCTGCCGCCTTTAAAGCAATATGCATCTATATTTTATGATTTTTTGTATATTTCCCTGCAAAGCTAAGTTTCTTGAGAGTAGAACAAATCTTTGCATGCCCAGCACCTAGTATACCCTTGCACAAAGTAAGAGATCAAAAATGTTTCTGAATGAGTGGGAAAAGTCCTATGTTCTTAGCAGAATTGACTTTCTATGGTTGGTTATCTAATCAAGAGCAAAGGGCTTTCCAGTTTTTCTTAGAGGAAAAAAGATGTCCTTTTAGCATGTATCTGTAAAAGATGAAAACACTAATTCAAAAAGATACAATGCACTCCAATGTTCAGCACTATTTACAGTAGCAAAGTATGGAAGCAATCTAAATGTCTATTGACAGATGCATAGATAAAGAAGGTGCATTATATTCCATTACATATTATATATATATATGTATATATATATATGATGGAACTTTATTCAGCCATAAAAAGATGGAAATAATGCCATTTGCAGCAACATGGATGGTCCTAGAGATTATCAAACTAAATGAAGTCAGACAAGCACAAATATCAGAGGATATCACTTATATGTGGAATCTAAAAAATTATACAAGTGAACTTATTTACAAAACTGAAATAGACTCAAAGACATAGAAAACAAACTTATGGTTACCAAAAAGGAAAGGGGGGAGGGATAAATTAGAATTTGGGGGTTAACATATACACACTACTCTATATACACTATATGATAGTAGTGTGTATATGTTAACCCCCAAATTCTATGATAGTATATATAGAGTAGTGTGTGCTACTATAGTAGTGTATACGGTATAATAGATAACCAACAAGGACATACTGTATGGCACAGGAAACTATTAATACATTCAACATCTTGTAATAACCTATAATAGAAAAGAATGTGTAAAAGAATATGTAACTGAATATATATATATATGTGTATATAACTGAATCACTTTGCAGTACATCTGAAACTAACCCAACATTGTAAATCAACTATACTTCAATAAAAAGTTGTTTTCAAAAAAAGGCAAAAGATGCCCTTTTACCACTGTAACCAAAGGAAGGCAGGAAAATGTCACATTTAACTAATTAAAGTATTTCTCACCTGAAAGCCGTTTAATATTTCAGGCCCTGAAATAGGTTCCTTAATTACCCACAGCAAAGTTAAAAAACAGTGAGCTGTTTGCTGTTTGTTAATAGACCAAGAGGCAAAAAAGTCTCTGTGCATGTACATATTAGCCCCAGAACCGTCATTTAAGAGGTTCTGGCAGAATCTTAGTGATATTGCCAAGGAGTGAAGGTATGATTCCAAAGTTTGAACATTACTTTTGTGCATCACCAGAAAACCTGTTGATGCCACAAAGAAAATGTTACCCAGTGTCACCAAAGTTCTCATGCTCAAACTAATTATCTGTCAGACCCTGGCTTTCCTCTTCTGCTTGCTCATCTATCGTGATTATCAGCTTGTCTTGTCCGTTCTACAGCTATTTTGGAAGATGCTTATGCACCAGTTGCCAGGAAGAAACTTTGAAGGTCAATATTTTCCCAGCCCAACCTTGAACAAGCTCACCCACCAACTGCAACAAAGAGCCTTTGTAACCATCAGTCAAGACATTAATCCTGAAGAATTTTGTCTTACCTCCATCTCCACAGAGCTTTGCCATAGTTGGACCTTTGGGGATAAGGACGGGAGGAGAAGAAAAATGATCTATGAAAGGAACAGGACATCTGGGTCTAATTCAAACATCTAAGGAAATGGGAAAGATTTTCTTTCCTGAACAAAAGTTCTGAACTAACTGAACTAAAAAAAAAAAAAGTAATGACGGTAACAAGGTGTAATTCATTTTCTTTTTATGTAAGTCCATTTCCCTGATCCTGTTGAATATGATGGTTCTCAGCCTTCTTGCCATGCTAACTGATGGGCTGAAGGCCATTAGAGATTTCATTGTCTTTGCTAATGAAACAAAGAACCATAAATGAAATGGCTTTATAAGATTTTGCCCCAATGTTTGTGACTTTTGTTATCCCTCATCTGGATTATAATAATAAGTAGCAATAAATTACTAAAATTAAGAAGGCCTGGGTACAAAATCCTAGTTGTAAGATAAATCGGTCCTGGGGATGTAGTGTACAGGATGGTGACTATAATTGATGAGACCATATTGTGTATTTGAAAGTTGCTAAGATATTAAAAGTTCTGATCCCCAGGGACAAAAATTATAACTGTACAGTGATGGATGTTAACTAGACTTATTGTGGTGATCATTTGTAATAAGTACAAATCAATAACTTTATACACATGGAACTAATATAAGTCAATTATACCCCAGTACTTTTAATTAATTAACTTTTATTGTTGGCTGCACTGGGTCTCTGTTGCTGCACACAAGCTTTCTCTAGTTACAGCGAGCAGGGGCTACGCTTCACTGTGGTGAATGGACTTCTCAGGGCAGTGGCTTCCATTGTTGCGGAACACAGGCCCTCGAGCACAGGCTCAGTAATTGTGGCCCATGGGCTTAGTTGCTCCTCAGCATGTGGGATCTCCCTGGAACAGGGATGGAACCCATGTCCCCTACATTGGCATACGGATTCTTAACCACTGGACCACCAGAGAAGCCCCTATCTCAGTATTTTAAAAGGTCTGTGCATTAAAAGAATATGGGAAGCAGGGACATGTATAGCCCACTTTTTCTGGAGTTATGTGGAGAAGTGTACTTCAGTGAACAGAGAAGATGGTAACAAGTATCAAAGGAAAAAGAAGTAGGTTGAGCCACAAAGGCCTCTGAGAAGAAAGTAACAAACAGAAGAATAGAAGGCACCAGTCGTGGCCTCAGAAAGACCCCCTCTAGTGAACCCCTTTGGTTCCACCACTACCCCAGTTAATCCTATACACCTTCACACCAGAGTGATCTTTCATAAATATAGATCAGATCCTGTTTATCTCTGCTTCCAATTCAGTGGGTATCCTTCACCTGCAGGATTAAGTCCAGACTCATGCACACACCATTTGTTATTCAGATCTCGCTCTTGTCAGTTTTATTAGCATCATCTCCCACCATTCTATTCAAGCATCTTATGGTCTAGCTATATTTAATCTATTGGCAGTCCCCTAAAGAAAAATCCTAAACTTTTGCATCTTTGCATTTTCCTTTTTTAAAAAAGAAGCATTAAGAAGGGAACCAAATATTATGTAGGTAGGGCTTGACTATAGAGAACTAGACAGTTACTCACAAAATAAGATTATAAGAGAATCAGCAAGTTCCCTGTGCAAAATTACCTTCACTTCTTCCCTATCACATTTCCTGAACTCTACCTGTACATATATACTTAATGTGGAACACTACTCACTACTCCCTCCCCAAGGAGATCTACATTAAGTCATTATCATCCATTACACTTTAGAGTGAAAATATGGATTATTTTCATTTGGATACCAGGTGTGAAAAAAGCCCCTGAGGAAATACAAGTTTTGATGGGGATAAAGTGAAGATAATTCTAAAATTAGAAGGAAGGCAGACCCAGACAAATTACCTCGGCTGATAACACTGGGCGAGAAAGGGACAACATAAGGGCATGTGGAATTAGGCATGGTAATACCAGAGAGAGGAGGCTGAGATATGGAAGAAGGAATCAGAAAAAAGTTAGAGATGAAGGCAAACTTTATCCACTGTGATGGTTGATTTTATGTGTCAATTTGGTTGCACTACAGTGCCCTGATATTTGGTAAAATATTATATTCTGGATGTTTATATTCAGTAGACTTT